TATAGCTATGAGCCTATGACAAGAAAGAGAATGATATGCTTATGCAATAATGTATGGCCCCAATACCAGCTGGGGGACCAGAAACATTGTCTCCAAAATGGGTCTTTGGCTTATGGCACGATTTTTCAGCTTGACTTGTTTTGTAAGAAAAATGAGACAAAGTTCCCTATATTCAAGCTTTTCATGTCTCTCTATCAAACTTTAAATCCCTCTAACCAGGTTCTTTTCCAGAAAAAGCTGAAGGCAGAAGTGCTTCCTGAATCCTCACCGGAGAGTCCCCTCTTAGAAGGAATAGCCCCGATAACTGCTTCGGCTCCACCCCACCATATAGGGAAGGTGCGGTAGAAGCCGACAGGTCAGGTTGAAGAATGACGCCAGAGTCCCCCACAGAAAGGGCTGAGCCTGATTCTAGTCCGGCCAGCTCAAGAGAAATTGACGAAGGAAGGGAATCAGGAATTAAGAGTCCGACTTCATCAGATATGGTCTTTCCCCCGTACACACACCCGTCAGGGTACTGTTTTCGATGAGGGTACTGCCGGGGCTCGGGCAGGGCAATTTCCTCTGAGAAAAATTCCAGCCAAAGGAGGAACAATGTTAATACATATTCCTTTCTCTACCTCCGACTTGTATAATTAAAAGAATCACAATCCTCCTTATCGGAGTAACCGAAATAGGATGGCGGAGTTGTTCCTTGCCGTTTTCTGCAGATCCCACCTGAAAATGCACGTGCCTTGCAGGTGACACTATTGCAAGAAGAAATAGTGATACATAGTGGCATTCCTTTCCATATTCAACAAAAGGTGAATCCAGAGGTCTGGGCATAAGAAAGGCCTGGATGAGTCCAGTCAGCCGCACCAGCTAAAATTACTTTAAAACCTAGAGCACCTATTATAAACCAGAGACAATATCCCCTCTGCAAAGAAGCTTTAGAAGGGATCACACCACTGGTGCATCAATACATAAAACTGGACTTTTAAAATTTTGCCAGTTTCCGTACAACACCCCTATCGTACCGGTGTTGAAACCGGGGACAAGAGAATATTGGTCTGTTCGAGACCTAAGAAAAATCAACCAAATAGTAGAGGACATTCATCCGACTCTGCCAAACCCATATATTCTCTTGGCTACTATACCCGGTCAATGTGCTTGGTTTTCAGTATTAGACTTGAAAGATGCCTTCTTTTGTATTCCTCTCCACCCCGAGTCTCAGCCTCTAATTGCCATTCAATGGACTGATATTAAGACAGGGAATTGCTGTGGGGGTACTAACTCAAACCCTGGGAGCAGCCAGGTGACTGGTGCCCTACTTTTCAAAACAGCGGGACAACACTGCCGGGGGATGACCCCCTTGTCTGCCAGCCATGGCTGCAACATGTGACTTGTTACAGGAAGCCAAGAAATTCACTCTTGGACAAAAGGTAACAGTAAACACACCACATACAGTTTTGCCTCTTTTGGAATAAAAGGGGG